CAGATTTGAGTAAATCCCACAAAATGGTATTACACACACTTTCATGGTATGGTCCCTTGCCGTAATACTTTGGGTGGGATAAGAAAAATGAGGGGGATGTTTTCCAGTCACAGGTTCTATCACAGCCCAGGAAAGCAGCACAGGCTAATTCCAAGAAGGGAAAATTCACACACTTTGGACTCTCCTGAGCTCTGAACCCAGCTAAGCCCCCAGGAGCTGACTTTCCAACTAGGTCAGGGACACAGGAAACTGATTTTTTCTCTACTCATGCTAGATTGTAAGCTCATGAGAGCAGAGCCCTGTCCTGCCTTCATTCTGTCACATCAAGCACATTCATTCCCTCACACATATTCAGTCCTCAGTGCTATGTGTTAAATTGAATGACAGCAGCTTTACCCAGCATCCCCAAAGAGGTTTTCCCTATGAGCTATCACACGTCTTAAAATGATCCCTGCAGCCTCTTGTGAGGCACTTACCTGTGATCTCTGTTTTAGATGAAGTTAGCAAGTAAAGTTGTTATAAAATATCATTTGTACAAATTCCTTTAAGACTGCCATATTTTCATTTAAAGTGACTGGGGTAAGTCTCAACAGCTCTTTGGCTGGTGCCAGCTTTAAGCCTACTGGGGCTATGAGGGTGAGTTAGCACTGTGACAGCTCACACAGCTTGCAGCGCTCCAGTGCAATAGCACAGTGGCAGTTCCCCAGTTGTTCTGTAACACTTTTCCCTCCAACAAATCCACACAAACAGGGAAAGAAAGGTGTCAGAGTGGGAATAGCTGTGCAGAAAAGAGAAGATGGCAGGTCAAAGCAGTTGATTTAAATAGGGTTAGTTGCAAGTTGGCCTGTGGCTAGTGTCCAGGACGTTGACACTCCAACCCCTCCCTGACTAACAAGAACGGCTCACTGCAAACAATGCCATTTATGCTGGACTCCTGTTTTCTTTCTTTGACTTTGGGATTCTGATTATTGCTAGGCTGAGGGTGCCTACACAACCAGCCACTAAAAAAACAAAACAAAACAAAAATCCTTGAGTGCCATGCCTCTCCATATTACTAAATTCTTCACTGCTAGGAAGAGGACCTCTCTTGGGGAAGGGAGCTGATGTACTGATTTCTCCAGACTCTACCTGGGTCTATTTCTCTTGCTGATTCTGTCATGTTTCCTTTCATGGCAATAAGCCTGAGCCACGAGGTCTAGTATATGCTGAGTCCTTCTAGTGAGTCCTCACAGGCTCATGTGGTTGTGGGGAGCCCTGAACACATGCCGTGGCCATCACTAGGGCTCCCAAGAGCTGGTAAGAATATGTCTGCTGGCTGAGCTTGTTAGACTCAGGTTCTGTTGGACTCAGGTTCTGTTAGACTCAGGTTCTGTTGGACTCAGGTTCTGTTAGACTCAGGCTCTGTTAGACTCAGGTTCTGTTAGACTCAGGCTCTTAGACTCAGGCTCTGATGTGGGGTGATGGTGCAGAAATTTTAGGAATTTCTGAAATGTATGAAGACAGGAGAGTAATTAAATTTTGCCTAACAGTCACATTAGAATGAGACTGTGGTCAGAGTGGGCATCTTCTTGGCTCTGACTGATCCTGTGAGGGCTCATTTGCACCTAAGGTCTGTGACAGAGAGGGTGAATTTAATTTAAGTACATAATATGCATGTCTGGAAACAGCACAGTGAAACTGCTTTGTACAATTAATATACCCTAAGAACAAAGAGAGAAAAATAACCAGGGTATGGCGCTAGAAGTGGGTTGTGCAGCATCCTTGGTTGCTCACCACAACCAGGTGTTTTCCCTGATGCCAGGCTTTGGATTTATAGTCCCTCAGGGCAGGGCAGCTCAGAAGTGACACTTGGGAAGGCCACAGGGAAGGAAGAGATAAGGAGGGCTCAGCTTTAACTTGACCACTCTGATGAAAAGGGTCTGAGGCCCACTTGCTGAAGTATTGTCCAATCACAAAGAAGAATGAAATTATGTCACTTGTAGGGAAATGGATGGAACTGAAGATCATTGTGTTGAGTAAGATAAGCCAAGCTAAAAAGCCAAATAGTGCATGTTTGCACTCATATGTGGAATTAGAACTAAAATGATGATAATAATAATAATAATAATAATAATAATGGGACATGAGTGTAAAAGTGGAGCTGACTGGGAGGGGACATCAGTGGGGGAGGGAGAAAGGAGAGGGTCTTGGGGGGATGAAGAGGATTGAAGTATGATATATGTACATCTATATCTATCTCTCTCTATATAAAATGAAGATAGCATAGTGAACCTGCCAGATGCTGTTTGGAAAAGGAGGGGGAGGTGGCTAAGGGAATGTAACAGAGGGGTAAATTTATCTGAAGTACACTGTATACATCCATGGAATTATCAAAATGAAACCCCCTTGTACTTTTAATGTATGCTAATTTAAAATGAAATTAAATTCAGATAAAATAAAACAAAACAAAAATGGCCCTAGCTCTTGGCTCTTATAGAGAGGAATGTGGAGAGCTCACCTCTCTCCCCTTTTCTCCCTCTATTTCCTTCTGGACTTTGGTGTGTGGTTATACATGGGATGGTTCATAGGCCTGCCAGTGAAGAGGAGCCTTAGGTTTTCTCTACAGACCAACATTCTCCCGCCCCAGTGTAGTTTCTCTGCCTTCAGTTAACCCAGTGGGCACAGTAGCCAATATCAAGGTCACCCTGACTCTGTTTCCCTCTTTTGAGAGATAGGTTTCCCCAGCCCCTGCTGCTTCTGTGAGGCATCTGTCAGGGGTTGTGTGAGAATATTAATAGATGCTTTTATTAGGAATTTCTGAAGTGCACTAAGACAGGACAATGATTAGATCTTGACTAATGGTTACAATAAAAGTCACCTTATCTACCACCTCTTTGGACATCTGTATTCAGATCTATAGTTGTACAAGGTGTCCTGTGGAACAACGTAATCCAACGTGGAAACAATGCATTTTTCTAATTACAACATTAGCTGCATCTGTACAATTTTTAATGCGTAGTATTTTTGTTATTGGCTAGTTCTAAATGTTTTATAATTTTCATTATAATTCCTTCTATAATCTAAAAGTTATTTAGAGAAAGGGTTCTTTATTTACAAACATTTAGGGATTTTCTGATTATCATTTTATATTGATTTTTAACTTCATTTGCATTATGATCAGAGAAAATGACATTTATGCTCTGGTTCTTTGAAAAGTTGCAAAGACTTCCTTTATGGTTTAGTATATGATCTATTTTTGTAAATGTGAAAATTTTAAGATTGTGAATTCTCTCATTTTTTTTCAGTATAGAATTTATATTGTATAAAGGCAAATATATGTTGGTTGTGTCTAAATATTACAGTGTGTTTATTTTTTTCCTTGAAATGTCAATTGCTAAGAGAAAAGTTAAAATTTCTTGTTAAGACTGGTGTGGTAGTGCGCACCTATAATCACAGTTTCTTAGGAGGTAACTATCAGGAAGATCATGGTTCAAGGCCAGCCCAGACAAAAAATCAGTGAGATCCCATCTCGATCAATAAGTTGGGTATGATGATGTGCACCTATGATCCCAGCTGTGTGGGAGGCCTGAGGCTACAGGTAGAAGGATTGAGGTCTGAGGTCCATCCCAGGCAAAACCTGAAGACCCTACCTGAAAAATAACTACAGCAAAAAAGTTCAAGTAGTAGAGAGTTTGCCTAGCACAGGTGAGGCCCTGAGTTCAAACCCCAGAGCCACCAAGAAAAAAATTCTTGTTAAGGTAGATTATTCTAGCTACCTAGCAATTTGAGCTTTTATCGTTATGTGGTGACCCTTCTCATGTCTACTAATGCTTTTCATTTGAATTCTATTTTGTCTACTATTAACATTTATCTCGCCTTTCTTTTGTTAATATTCACATTTCTTTTACTTTCAACCTTTCTGTATCCTTATATGTCTTGTAGCAAGTACTCAAGCACAAGGATTTTTTTTTTTAAAGAAAGCCTTGTGTGATACCCAAAGTAGGAATGACAACAACAAGAAGAAAAAAAACTTTCAAAAATGGTAGAATGGGAACTGCAGGTGTGGCTCCAGGTCGTTGAGCACCTGCCTAGCCAGCACAAGGCCCCAAGTTTAAACCTCAATACCAAAAAAAAAAAAAAAAAAGGTAAAATGGACTTGATAAAAATATGAATGGTTTTCAAGAAACTCCATTTCAAAAAATGGAAAAACAAAGCATGGAGTGGAAGAAAATAAGTACGAAACATGTAGTTGTTTAATGATGCATACCCAGAATGTATAACCAAGTTTTATAATTCGATAAGATAATCCAACCAAAAAAACTGGCAAAAATGGGCAAGAATTAGCCGCTAAGGAAATGCAAATTAATACCAAAATGAGATACTGTGTCACCATCACTAAAATGGCTAAAATAAAAAGGACTGGCAGTTTCAACAGTTAGTGAGGATGAAGAGAAAGCAGAAAACTTGTCTATTGCCGGTGGATATAGAACATGATAGAGATACTATGGAAATAGTTTTTTATTAAGTTAAACTTGTACTTACCAAATGAGCAAACATTGCCTTTCCTAGGTAGATACCCAAGAGAAATGTCCACACAAAGAGATATGATAAAAGATAAGACCGGGTGCTAGAGCCAAACTGTATTTTTCCCTAGATTGCTTATTCTTACTTTACAAACAGAGAAACTGAGGCAGAAAGCTACTTGGTAACATGCTCAGGGCTACATGTAGTAAGTGGCAGGGGCAGATGTGAATCCACCAATCCCAAAATCACCCCTTGCAGTGTGGAGGGCATGATAAAAGCCCCTCATCTACAAATCTGCAGGGTGTGACCCCCAGCCCTGTCCCACTGGCAACATGTAGCGGACAGGGCCACTTTCCTCCTTAGCCCCAGTCACAGGTAACTTCAGCTTTACCCTTTCGAGTGCTTGTAAGATCATTATTTTGCTTCTGGAATATTATTTTGAAGGCACAATGAAAGGTCATGATTCCTTTCAAATATGCAGAGTTCTGTTTCTGGACTGGTTCCACCTTGTTTTTTTTTTTAATTCCTAGGCTGAATGAGCACCAGACCCTCACTTTATAAAGCAAATCATTGAATCTCCCTAAGCGAAGTGGTTTAGATGTTGATAAGCACTGGGAGAGGTTACAGGCTGCGTACTTTGGAAGCCTCCTCTGGAGGAGAGGGGCCTCTCAGAAGTGTGGTCAGCACAGAGCAGTCTTCTAGTTCTTCCAGCTTTTCTACTACCTTTAGAAGACTTGCCACCGTGTGGCAGGACAGCATCCTGGAGGCATTGGCCTTGAATTTTTCCTGTAGATCCTTCTGGCTCAGTGGTTTCCTCCAGTGACCATAGAAAGTATCTGAGCGCTCTGTGAAGGTGGTTCCATCCTTGAGGGTGACACTTATCTGGCAGTACAGCGTGTTGAAACTCGGCAGGTTGTCTGGAGGGTGCTCCAGCCTCACCTTCCTCAGCAACTCCCTGAGCTGTGGCCTTCCGATCTGGTGTTTGTAGAAGGATGGGACAGTGACGCCGCCATCCAGCAGCATGGCACAGGCCACGTACTGGAAGGAATGGCGGGCTTCGTGCTCCGAGTCTGGGAAGGGCCTGTTGACATACTGCACATCTGGAATCCTCAGCACGATGCTCTCAATGCAGTCGATAGGAAGCAGGGCCCCGTCTGAAAGCACAAGATGCCTCCTCACGGCTGCAGCTGCGTCAGCCACCCAGTGGGTGGACAGGTGAGCGGGGAAACGCTTGAAGGCTACGTCCTGCTGCTCCAGCAGCCAAACGTGGGAATCCAGGCTTGGAAGGGCTTTCGGGGAATAGTTGGCATAAAAGGCCCCAAACCCTCTCTCCAGGTCCAAGATCTTCTTGTTCGCTTGGAGACCCAGCATCGCCAGGAAAGTGGCTTCTATCCCGTGCCTGGCAGCATTGCCCACGTGGAGGGGCTTGGTCTGGGTGGCAGCATTTGCCAAGGGCGCCCCGGCATAAGAAACAGCAATGGCCAGGGCCTCTCGGCACTTTGTCAAGCTGAGTCCTAAAAACTTGGATGCAGCAGCAGCACTGCCCAAAGTTCCTACCACAGAAGGGGGATGGAATCTGAAAAGCAAGGCAGAGTTGGAGGTTACAAATCTTAACCACCAATAGGCGGTCAAGAGCATCAGTAATGAAGTCCAACGCCCTCAGTTCAAATCTTGGCCTTCCCACTCATTAGTACTGTGATCTTAGGGAAATTATTCAGCTTCTCCGTATCTGTTCTTTTTTCTTACATAAGTGGTGATAATGTCAGTGTCTGCTTCACGAGGACTGGGAGCTCTGAACGAGTTACAGTGGTGCCTAATAAATACATTGCAAGTTCTTCATAAGTGGTACTGTTAAAGTTACTGCCAGAGAGACAAAATTTGTTGATTGTTGAAATGACTGTGAGAATTGAGGGCCTTGGTGAAACTGGAAGTTTACCACCCGTTATATCAATGTATTCTCCTACAGGCTGGACCAAGAGGCGAAAAACTAAGATTGAACCATAGGATATATAGCCAATATTTGGCTACTTTTGGTATGTGTGATAAACAGTCAAGGTTAGGTTACTCTAAGTGTTCTCATGGGTCTGAAGGATCCCACTGAATGTCAAAGTATATTCTGCTCTGAGGATGGGATCAGTGATAGAAGACCCACGGATGCCAGAGGGATATGAATCATCCTGGGGCCCCAGCTTATTTCTTGGTCCTGGCTGCTTGATTGACTCTCTAAACTCAATGGGAAATTCTTTAGTACTTCTAAAGCCACACTTTTGTATACGGACATAGGGTTTGGTATGTGATTAGAGTTGAAGGAGCTGCCGGCACTAATGTTAACATCTTCAGCAGAGCCAGCTTTTCAGCCAGGAAGCTCTGCAGAGATAACCACAGACTGACTGACGAAGGGCAGCAGTCACTTCTCAATGGGCAGGGCTGGCCGTACCGTTTTGGTATGTCCCTGGCTTCCTTGGAGAACTGCAATAATCGGCCTTGCACCTCAATACCCACGTTGAAAGCCAGCAGCAGGTCAAGGCCAGAAAACTTTGGACTCTCAGGCAGGGCTTCTGCTAAAGCTGTGAGGACAGGAAGGACAGCCCCAGAAGGGTGGGTGGCGGGGTGCCACGTGTCATCAAAATCCATCGAGTGAATCTGTATAAATAGACACAAACAAGACCCCCCCCAAATTTCCCCTGAATGTGTTGGTTTGGGGATTTCACTTAGAAATAACCATCTTTTTGCTGTGAGGTTTTCTGAGCTGATTCTCTGAAATTAAAACCTGAAAAGAGGCTGTGATTCCTAATTCCACAACTGGGGGTCCCTGCTCTTCTGCCTAGTGAAGGGCAGGACCTTGGAGAGAAACTCATCGCCCCCCGAGGATCTGGTGTCTTACCCTGGCTAGAGCCTTGGAAAAGTCTCTACCCCCTATGAAGCTGTTCTTTCCTTCCTCTCCCATTCTTTAAAAAGAGTCATACTGGAAATTTAATATCATTTATTATATACTAGGCCATATATTTCTTGTGTCTCTTTTATGAAGTAATTTCAGACATCTAGAGAAGTTACAAGAGCAGCACAAAAACTCTCAAGCTTAGATGAACTATTAAGTTCTATTTAAAAATCATTATTTTCTGCTATAAGGTTTTATCCCTTTTGATCCAGCCATATGAAATATTTAGTAATAACCAGAAGTTCATTTAAAGATAGATTTTATGTCTTTTTGATGTGTGTAGTGTGTTTCTAACTGCTTGCTGGACATTTACTCCTGAGCGCATCATTGGGTTTGCATTGCAGTATTCTAAGCTGCCGTCAACATAACCATAAAAGTATTTCAAGACTGAACATGTTTACGTACAAATTATATCTGTAGACTTTCCTTGGCACACAGAAAAAAAAACATAAAAATCATCTGTCAGATGAGAAATACTGATTTTTTTTTTGGCAGTACTGGGATTTGAATCTTGGGCCTCGCACTTGGCACTCAATTATTTAATCCATGCTCCCAGTCCTTTGTTGCTTTAGGTTATTTTTCAGATAACCAGAGTCTGGCTGTAGACCTAATCCTCCTACATCTGCCTCCCACATAGCTGGGATTACACGTGTGTGCCACCATGTCCAGTTTGAAGTACCAATTTTTCATTCAGAAAATATAGAAACCATAAGGCCATTACTTCTTTCTCAATAAATACGTGTTGAATGAATGAACAGAATATTGCTGGATAAAAGCTGGTACGCATAACAGAAGGAACCAAGAAAAAATTATGTCTGGATTTTGTATTTTATACTTTTTGCTGCATACATTCAAGGTTTAGAGTTGGGATACCTTGGAGACATTTTTAATCCTAAACCCGTTCATTTCCTCTAATTTAGAATTTGTTTGAAAAGCATCAATTCATTGTTAAAACATGAAAACTGGAGTGACTACACAGGAGACAAGACAGGCCACTCATCTCCCAGAAATTAGTTATCTCTTCGATAAAGCGTGGACGGTAGGCGATTTCTAAGCTATATCTTGGCTCTAGGCCTAGGATGGTGGTCTAATAGTTGAAAAGACAAGTAACTTTCTTACCGCCACACCATTTACAAAAGCAGCATATGTGGGTGGGAGCCTGAAGTCCGACCGACCCCAAACGGTGCTGGATGGGTTGGAATTGTAGATCTGGAATAGAAGAACCAGAGGCATAGAGAGTGAACACGATAACCCAGCCATAGTCCTTATCTGAATGTCTGTGAGGGGCAGAAGCCCTAGTGACTGGAATTCTCTCTTCCGAGTAGAGGAGCATTCAGCCTTCCCTGTGGAGGGGAGATGGGGTCGCTTAATCCCAGGTCATGATTCAGAGATGCTCCAAGGAAGTGAGTCTGAATTCACTCTTATTTGCTCTTGGGTAAATAGAGGGGTTGGTGACTGTCCATCTAAACCAAGTACGTCCTATGGTGAGTGGATGCTAAGTCTCCAATATATGTGTCCACTTTCTGCTCAGAGTGCGTGGCCAGCTTTTTCTCCAGAGAATCTTAAAATCTTTACCACAAATGGTCTGTCGTAGGTGCTTTTGCTTCTGCGAAATTCGGGTTAAAATATGCTTTCAGTCATAATAATAGTGCATTGTGAACTGTCTCTAGTGAATGGTCTTAGTAAATAAACATCTGGCTTAGTAAAGGAAGGGGGTGAGTTTAAAAAAGCCAATGACAAGAGAGAATTATAAAGTGATATGGAAAAATACCATATGCATCAGTCACTATCTATAAAACTAAGAATAGAGCGGACAGAACACAGGCTCACCCTCTGGGTCTTCCCCACACTAGGCGTGCACGCACACTTGTTTTTTATCTTTACAATAAACTTTGAGCTTCTTACCTTACTATATTGGCTAACTTTGTGAAACACTTCTGTGCTGGTCCCCAGGAACCCCACCCCCAGCGTATCCAGAATCATCCTCTTGCTTTTGTGAATGACGTCATCTGTCAGGTGTCCCACTTTCAAGCCATGGATCAGGTTGGCAAAGCTTTCTGTGACAGACTTCAAAGAGAAGAGGGTGTGAACAGAGTCTGCTCCACTTTGTATTTACACAGTTCTTTTTGCTAAGAGACCTTGAGGTGAAGAGTTTTGCTCCCCTAGAAAAAACCTAACTGATCAAATTTAATTCCATTTTTAAGATGTGTGTGTGAGGCACAGGGAGGCAGAAATGCACAATAGCCAGGTTCTGTGTGCAGTTGAGTTGATAACACAGGCTGGCAAGCAGATGATGACTGCAAAGCATGATGGGTGATAGCAGAGGGATGCACAGGAAGTCAGAAGGGAGCCTAGAGGGGTATTTCACCCATGAAAGGGGTCCGGCTGGGTGTGAGGTGCATCAGACAGCTAAGATAGGTATGGTTGTTCCAAAGACATTGTCCTTTTAACACGCCAGGACTTTAGGTGCTACTGTGAGTCTCACCTGGGTGAGAGGAGTGAGACTTATCAAGCTGAAGCCACTAACATTCACAGCTCTTAAATGGGATTTGAATACAACCCAGCTCCAAAATCAGGGCATTTAGCTTGTAAGCCAAGGTGTAGACCTAGGGACACGTGCATCCAAACAACCTGGATTCCTGTTGAAAATGAACATTTTTGTCTTCTACTCTAGACTCCAACAATTAGACTTTCTCTAGAATAAGAATCTCGGGAACCCTAGCACAGGATTTTTGGATCTCTAAGTGACTTTTATGTTTAGTTATTTTTCAGTGAGGTTCTCAGCCTGGGGTTGAACTCAGACCATGATCCTCTGACTTATGCCTCCCATACAGATGGGATTATACTTGTGTAGCACCACTCTTGGCTTGTTTTGTTGAGATGGGGGGATCTCATGAACTTTTTGCCAGGGCTATCATTAAACCATGATCCTTCTAATCTCTGCCTTCCAAGTAGCTGGGAAAGCAGGCATGAGCTACACACTTGGCTCTAGGTGCCTTCGTTTTTTTTTCAGCCATGTCAGGCAAACACTGTACCATGGTGCTACACCACCAGCCCTCTAAGTGGTTCTTAAATGCTCTGGTGCTGCTATGTCTGGCATGGTACTACTCTCCCAGGTGGCTATTGGGCACTTAAATTATGCCTAGTTCAAATTAAAACCTAAGAGTAAAATAAGCACTGAATTTTGAAGATTTAGTAGGAAGGAAAGAATATAATGCATCTCAGTAATTTTAAATACATGCATATATTGATATCAGAATTTCTGTATTATGATACTATTTGGGATCTATGGACCAAGTAAAATATTAATTTATTCGGTTTCTTCTGTTTAGAACATGGCTACAAAAAAGTTTAAAATGACATCAGACTGGAGAACTAGTCAATGCTCTTTCTTGGTGGGGACATCCCCAGGTGTTGATACCTGATCTTTATGAAAACACAGGAGTCAGCCAGGTGAGGTGCAGGGGATAGGGGGGAAACTAAAGGCAGAGGTAGCGGCCCAGGCCAGGGCTTAGAGGAGGGAGAGTTGACTCGTGCACGTCAACTGCAGAGCTGCATATGACAAGGGTGACAGGGAGGATGGATTTGCAGCCTAGAACTGAATGATGGATGTTACATTGTGCTAAAGATGGAGACTTCAACAATGCACCATAGTGCTGTCCTGAGAAAGGTAGCAAAGCAGGGTGCGGTGACTCCAGCCTATAATCCTCGCTACTTGGGAGGCTGAGATCAGAAGGATCACAGTTCTCAGGTCAGCCTGGGCATTAAAAAGTTTACAAGACCCCAGCTCAACCAATAGCCATGCACAGTTGTGCATGCCTGTCATCCCAGCTATGCTGGGAAACATAAAATAGGAGGGTGGTGGTCCAGGCTGACCTGGGCAAAAAGCAAGAGCCTATCTCCAAAATTGCCAGAGCAGAAAGGGCTGGTGGAGTGGAGCAAACAATAGAGTGCCTGCCTACCAAGCACCCTGAGTTCAAAACCCAAGTTAAAAAAAAAAGAGGGAAAGAAAGGTAGCAGAATGCTCAGAACTGTGTTTGGAAGAGCTCTGTAGCAATGGTGTTGAGAATTGATTGAGCGTGGTAGACAAGGGCAGGTAAGAGACTGCTGCATAGCCCAGGTTCTGGATGGGGAAATGGCAGTGTCACTGGCCAGGAGAGGAAGCATAGGAGGAAGTGAAGCTTTTGGGGAGTGCTTAGGGACTAGTGTGAACTTGATGGATATGGTGTTCTCTGTGGTTGTTCTTGTGAACAACACTATTCTGCTTCTCCACCCAAACCAGTCTTGAAAACCTGCAGGGCAGAGTGATCTGTGTTTCATAGCTCAGTTCTTTTAAATATCAAATTATTCAATGCATAGGCAATTATTTGTTTTCTACATGTCTTCACAAGAGAGCATCTATTACGTACAGTTAAGATCCATCCATAAGGGGCGATCGGCACATGTCTAGCACTGAGTACCACTTAGTGAAAGGTACTCCCTTCCCTGCTCTCATGATGGCTTCACATCTTTGTTCAACTTCCTTCCTTTCTCTGAGATCGGATTCCCCACTGACAATGCTAGCTGTAGGGTGCAGGCTTACTGGATTATAGGATCTAAAGTATATGGGGATTTTTCAGACTGAGCTCAGTGCCCAAAGAGAGCTACAGAGATGGCACCAGTGCCCACATGAAAGTCCTCCACCCTGGCCATCAACTAGTTCCCTTCTTAGAATCTCTAGATTTATCAAGCCATTTTCAAAAGAATGGGGACTCTTTATGTCTCTGAAGCTTTGATAGAAAGCTGAGGAAGTTCAGAGTGGAAGAAGGCAGGAGGAAGGTGACTGGGAGAGAGAAAGGGTTCTGGCATGAATGTTTCTGATCAGGATGGAGGATAATGTTAACACTGATTTTCATGCTGTCAGAACATTTGGATAAACATCTTAGTGGCAGAGGAGGGAGGAAGAGAGAGAGAAGAACTGGCCTGATGGTCTGCTAAGTAAAACTTGGAGTTTTAAATTCTAGCTAGACAGGTGTATGCCTGGGCAACAGGTAAGGGACTCCAGCATGGAACCTAGGAGGGGTGTGTGACATCAATCTACAGGAGGACATGCCACTGGCATCATGTGAAGATGGGCCTCCTGGGATCCCCTGACAAGTGCAGAACATCACCCATGAGTCAGAGAACAAATGGCCCCTCCCTGGCTGTGCAAGGGAGGAACATGAGGGAAATAAAGGCAAGGCTGGTTGCTCAGCTGTCTGTGAGATGCACACTCATCTTTTCTAAAATATCTTTCTGGTTTGCTTGACTTTCTCATGGCATTTGCATCTCTTTTTAGTAAAACACCATGACTAATGTATAAATTAAGGCACAAGATTTGGTATTTAATAAATAAATTTCAGAATTTCTTGGGAACTCTCTAGAATGTTAACCTCTCTAGAATGCCCAATGGAGATCTGATGTTTTCTGTCTCAAAAAACTTCCCAGGGGGCTACAACAGCAAACAGACAGCTAGAAATGCAGTCTGGCAGCATTGTAAAGTCCATGCATAAAACCAAGAGGTTAAAACTCAGTGAGCTTACAATCAGGTCTCTTCTTTGTAAAACACTCATGAGAGCTAGCATGCACTTAATCAGATATCCCAGACGCGATTAGAAAAGTTAAAATGCCAATTTTGAAAGGAGACCAACTGAGAATATTGAGAAAGGAAGAAATAAGCTAGAAAAGCAATTTAAGCAAGCCACACAAAATGTCACAATACCTTCAGCATCATGTTCTGAAGAGGAAGTGTGGCTCAGGAGGGAGCTGGAAGAATAATTTTCCAGTTGCAAGACTGCCTTTATATCTTTCACTCCTCTCAGGCCCATTCTCTTTCACTTTTGTTCTAGCCCTGGAATTTCTACCATTTCAACATCTTCCAACTCACCTCACTTCAGCTTCCTCCGTAAGGAGTCCTCACACTCACTGGTAGATGAAGAATGAAATGAGGCTAGAAGGTACAGTAGCCACGATCTTTTGACTCCATACCGACATCAGAAAAGTAAATGTATGGTAAAACTAGGATTGCCTCTTGTGCCAAGATGCCATACTTCAGAAAAAATATTCACATTCTTTTATCTAAAAGTTGTTCCACTTCTGGGAATTTATCCTAAAGAATTTAGGATGCTTATGGAAAGATAAACAGACACCCACATATACTCAGACAAAGTTAGACCCTTGTTTGTTCCTGCACTGCTCTGTCTTTGCTTACCTTTGGTTCCTGATCCTCTGCCTGGCTTCCAGAATATACTGCCTGCTTCTCCCTCCTTGCTGCTGCCTGCGTTGGCGGCGGTACAGCTTGTCCAGGCTTCCTCACTTATAATCACTCACTATGGTTTGGTTTGCCTGGACCTAACTCTGCTCACATGGGCAGTCGTCACTTCTCTTGGGCTGTCTAGTCATGGCCAATTGGTTTGTATTTATAGTGACTACAAAAGCCAAGGTCTTTAAAATTTGAGCCTGTTCTAGATGTAGTGCTAGATGTAGCCTTTGGGGGAAGATTATGAAGGAAATCTTCATAAACCCTGTGATTTTACCCCAATTATTATAATAGTTTTGGGACAAAGAGGAACTAAATGATTGAATAAAAATGCAAAGGCTCTCTCTTATGGATGGGCAGTGTCTTTGGTAGGTGAGGGTAAGTAGTTTTGCTTCTCTTGGATAGATCCTGTCGAGAAAGAATAGAGATTCTGGAGAGACAGGGCCCAAAGCAGGGCCAATGGACCCCCATGGATTGGTGGGAGTGGGAGGTGACCACCAGAAAAACCCTATGCAGAAGGATGAGGCAGACAGATTTAGAAAGCAGTGAGATCAAGTATTTATATTGAAGTTTTTCTTTTTGACACAATAATGCCCTAATATTATCCTTCCATCTTTAGGAGATATATATATAAAACCTAGTGTTTGGAACATAAAAGCAGAAGAGATTAATATTGCATACAATGAAAAGAGCTGGAGAGAAAAGCTCAGGATGCAAGTCACAGTGAGAAGTGACCAGCAGCAACCAGGAGAGTGTAGGTACTCTGGTTATCCTAAGCATTTAATGAAGGGTCAAAGGAAGGGGGGCATGTGAGGTTGCAGCTGTACCTACTTGAATGGTAAGGATGAGAACTTAGGAGTACTTGGACTCTACTTATAAACCCACTGGGTTTGAAGTGGGCTTCCCAACCATAGTTGTAGGTTCAACATTGACACCCATTTGGCTGTGTACTTTAAGATACCATCTCAATCTCTATTTGATATCTGTGGACTCCAAAGTCAGTGTCCAGTGGAAGGTGGATTCTTGTATTCAAGGACTGCTGTGGGTATTTGGGGTGGGGGATGGGCAAGATAGGCATTTTGGGGCATTGTATAAGAATAATTATATTTCAAGATTCTAGCACTTACTGCTGGGTAGTCTACATAAATTGGTGTTTATAGTAATCTTTTAAGTTGAAAGGAAACATAGACATCTAGATTGACAAACAAAATCTATCTTATTATTCCAATTGAAAATTCTGTTTTTTCCAGCTTACTCCATTTATACTTACTCCACTGGGGTTTGAACTCAGGGCTTCATGTTTGCAAAGTAGGTGCTCTACCTCTTCAGCTGCACCTTTAGTCCTGCGGTAGATATTCTTATTTCCCAAAAGAAACTCTCTGAAAAATGTCACTGTTATTATTTTCAATTTGAATAAGAGAAAGTCAAGACTCCAAAAGTTAAAAAATAGTTTTAAAGTTCAGCAGGAAGTTAAGAGATGAGATTCCTAGCATACTTTCCAGGAAAAGGGAGAGGCCCCACAAAGGTCTTACTTATTTCCCTAAGGAAAGCTTCATGAAGTGTCAGTGAGCCTTGTCATGTCTGTTGAGCTTTAGAGGATGTTCTATCATTTAGTCCCTCTGGGCCTCAGGTTTGCCTTCTATTAAATTCAGAAAAGGGTCAGTTAATTACTTTCTACTTTAATTATTTACTTAGTAGTTTTATGGAGCTGTGACCAATTAAAAAACTAAATCCCTTTGTAATTAGTTACTTTCTAGTTATTTAGGTGTTTAAATCATAAATTTTGATGACAATTCTCCAATCAAAAACAACAGATAACATTGATGAAAGAAATTGAAAAGGACAAACAAAAAATGGAAGAGAATCTTGTGTTCATGGATGGGAAGACTCAATATTGTTAAAATGCCCATACTATCCAAAGCAATTTGTAGATTCAGTGCAATCACTATCAAAAATATAAATGCCATTTCCCCAAAGGACTAGAAAAAATAATGCTAAAATATACATGGGAGAAAAAAATTAAACAACAAAAACAAACAAAAAACCCAAATAAGCAAGCAACCAAACAAAAGAGAAACTTGAATAGCCAAAAACATCTTGAGCAAAAGGAACAAAGCAGGAGGCATCCTAATACCTGAATTGAAAATATCCTGCAAAGCTATAATAATCAGTCGGTATGATACTGGCATAAATACAGATACCTAGATGAATGGGGCAATAGAGAGCCTGGAATAAACCCATTCATTGTTGATAAACTGATTTTTAATTTAGGTTTTAAGAGAAAGGACAGACTTTTCTGTAAATAGCATTGAAAATTGGATATATACATGCAGTGACACTATACCCTATTTCTCACCATTTACAAAAATCAAATAAAAAATGGAACAAACACTTAAATGAAGTTTTTTGACAGACTCAAGGGAGGAGGAAACAAAAGCAAAAATAGATACACAAGATTATCTAAAATTAAAAAATTCTGCACAGCAAAAGAAGCAATCAACAGGGTGAAAAGACAGCCGGCAGAGTAGGAGAAAATATTTGTAAACTATATATCTGAAAAAAGGTTGATACTCATTGTATGAAAAGAATTCCAAAAAACAAATAGCAAAAATGAATGAATGAATGCATGAATAAATAAACAAAATTTTGAAACCTGTTTAAAAAAACAATCTGGTTAAAATGGATAGTAGACCTAAACAGACATTTCTTGAAAGAAGGCATACAAATGGCCAACAGGTACAGGAAAAAAATGCTGACTGTCGCTAGGTATTAGGAAAATGCAAGTCAAAACCACAAGGAGATATTACTTCACTGCGGTAAGAATGACCAATGCTAAAATAATGAGTGCTGGTGAGAATGTGGGGAAAAAGGAACCCTTGCACAATGTTGGTGGGAAGGTAAATCAGAGAGCCATTGTGGAAAACAATATGGAGGCTCCTCAAAAAAAGTGAAAGATGGAACTACCATATGGTTCAGCTATCCCACTACTGATTGTGACAAAGCCATCTGCACTTGGACGTCCATTGGCGCACTATTCACAAGAGCCAAGAAGTAGAAACAAACTAAGTGCCCACCAGCTGATGAATGGGCAGAGAAAATGTGGCTTACATACATAATAGAATACTGTTTAGTCACGGAGAAGAATGGATGGAACTGGAGATCATTATGCTGAATGAAATGAGTCAGGCACAGAAGGTCAAGGACTCATGAGAGTCGGAGGGTGGTTGCCGGAGGCTGGGGAGAGTAGTGGGGAGGAGGATGGGGAAGGTTGGTCAGTTAGGTGGGAGGAGGGAGCTGCTGCGTAGCAGGATCAATTCAGATAACAACATCATCCTGTACATTTCAAAACAGCCAGAAGCTAGGATTCTGAAAGTTTTTGTCATAAAGACATAATAAATGTTTCCCTTTTACTAAACATTTAGGAGGACCTAGATGTTTAACTTGATTTAAAGCTTACACAATCATACATATATAAAAACATCACTTGTGCCATTAGTATGTACATTTTTCATGTTTATGTATACTAGTTAAAATGAATTTTGTTAAAAAATTTAAAAATGATTGGTAAGTACCATTATGCTTTGCTTCTAGATCTAAGAGGAAGCCAGAGCTATTGTTTTTAAGTGGAAATCTTTTTGCCCAGCCACCCTGAAGGAAGCAGGGCTGTGAGTGGCCCCAGGGAGTGGAGAGGCCCATATGGGTGGAACTGAAGCATCCTGCCAATGGCCAGCTCAGCAAGGATCATTCATAGCAGGTCACAGCAGAGACAGCAGCCAGCTGGAAGTCTCACAAGGTACTCAAGCCAGAGCCACTCAGCTGTGTGGCCCAAGGAGTCCTGACCCTTAGAAACTGTTGCTAGAACAAAGGTTGTTGTTTCATTTATTTATTTATTTAATTTTGCTGGTACTGGGGTTTGAACTCAGGGTCTTGTGCTAGCAATCATTCTACAACTTGAGCACACCCCCGGCTGTTTTTGCTTTAGATTACTTTTTGCTCAGGTTTGGCTTTGAACTATGATCTTCCCAGTGTCCATCTCCCAAGTAGCTGGGACTATAAGTACAAGTCACTGTACCCAACTCAGGTTTATCGTTTTAAATGATGTTTTGAGATAATTTGTATTTGCCACGGTTCTCCAGAGGAACAGAACCAACTGATTGTGTGTGTGTGTGTGTGTGTGTGTGTGTGTGTGTGTGTGTGTGTGTGTAGAGAGAGAGAGAGAGAGAGAGAGAGAGAGGAGAATTTATAATTTATTACAGGGAATTGGCTCATGAGACTGGAGTGGCTGACAAGTCCTAAGAGATGAGGCTGATAAGTTAGAAATCCTGAAAAGCGATGCCAGTTCAGATCTGCAGGCCCGAGAGCAGATGGTGTAGTTCTAGTCCAAACGCTAGTGAGATTGAGACTCAGGAAGAGCACGTTTCAGTTCAAGTCTGAAGGCAAGAAAAAAACCCTTCAGACTGGCTCAGAGGCAGTGTGCAGGAGGAATTTCTACTTCGTTCTATCAGGTTTTCACCTGTGGGTGAGGCCATTCACTTAGGGAGTGGGATCTGCTTTACTCAGTTTATCAACTTAAATGTTAAACTCATCCAAAATATCTCTTTAGAAGCATCCAGAATAACATCTAGCCAAATATCTGATCACCCTGTGGCCTAGTTGCATTGACACATAAAATTAACCATCACCCATAGCAACAGATAAATAATATAAACTCCAAGCTGATAATGACCTCTAAGGGCCCTTGGGATATGACTTAGATGTCTCTTTGTTCTTACGTCAAGCATAGCATCATTCACAGACCATGGCCATTACACTGCCTAGCGCCAGTGGCTCATGCCTGTAATCCTGGCTACTTGGGAGGCTGAGATTAGGAGGATCATGATTCGAGGCCAGCCTGGGCATATATAGTTCAAGAAACCCTCATCTCCAAAATAACCAGGGCAAAATGGACTGCGGTCTGCATAGAGCACCTGCTTAGCAGCATGAGGCCTTAAGTTCAAACCCCAGTCCCGCACACACACAAAAAGAGACCCTTGCACCACTGCATTAATGGTTTGCTCTGGCTTCTCGGGTCTTCTCCCTCCACCTTCCCCCCACTGTTTTCTTCCCCCACCCCACAGTTTTTTCTCCTCATCTTCCATCTAAACCAGTCCTCTTATCTAGGGATGAGCTTGTCCCCCCAGAAGACATTTGGCAGTATATGGAGATATTTTGATTGCCACCAAACAGTAACATCTAGTGGACAAAGTCCGAATAGTCCCCAACAGCAAAGAACTAATTGACCCTAAAGGTTAATAGTGCTAAAGTTGAGAGGGCCGTCTAAGTCTAGAGGTCACGTCCCAGGACGCCTCCACAATGTCGTAAGTCTAGGGTAAGTGCATCTTCCTGCATGGGGTTCCTGATTAGGCAGGAAAATTCTCTCTAGGATCTGCCCTGCCGATGACCACATTCCAGGGCCTCCCATGGGCCTCCATAAACAATAAGTGCACAGTATTTGTTGAATGAATTAATGCACACCTGGTGCTTTGGAGAAGTCAATCTGTTGTCGGCAGGTGCAGTTCCTGAAGAGAAGATTTCCAAATTCTTTGTGTCCTATGTGGAAACATCCAGGCAGGACAAGAAGGTGGTAAAGGAGGTAATGGTGTTTATTAAAGATTGAGGAGGGGAATTATAGAAGGTCATGGTTGATCAGGTGGGGGCCAGAAACAGAGAGAGAGGCTCTTTTCCAGGTGCTTTTAAAACTCATTGCTAACCTACGGGAAGGGAAGAACTAGTGATTCCTAACCACAAATAGTGGAAGAGTGGGGAGGGGCATGGGTGGCCCCTGCCAGGTGAGGATGGGTTGAGTTGTCCTCATGCCAGGGTGTGAACAACCTATGCACATCTGCAACTGAAAAGAAAGCTTAGGGAAAGAGAAGAAGGCTCAGCCTGAAATACCATATTAGCCATGTATGTTCTAAGAGTCCCGAACTTTCACTAGTCTAGTCTGCCTCAGCTTTGCTAACATGAGTAATGGTTAACCCTCTTCATTCCTCACAGAAATGTGTCAGGAAGATATATTGTTTAATGGTGGTGGCTTCTATCCTCTTCTGAAATGGTGGTCTGACAGCAGTTTGCACACAGGGAACAAATCTTTCTTTCACCATGACAAGAGCACTTCCGACTGTAAGGAATTGCTTGTAGAAGAATGGAAGCTATTGAGTAAACCAGGACTATTTGAGACAATAAATCAAGGATATGAAAATGTAAACTAGTTCTCAAAAAGGAAAAGCAATGTGTGGTCTGTTTGATTTTGTGCAGAATAGCTGATTTGGGGTATTTGGATTTCCCTGCCCTGCCCTTCCTGTGTTATTATTGAGCAAAATCTGACAAGTCAATCACATCATTGTCATTATTGTCTCACTTTATTGAAACAGCACATCTTATGAGAAATCACAGTGGTAGTCAGAATCTTCATCTCCTGGATTATTTCTTTGTTATTCATTTGACCCATTAAAATATACTTACCGTGAGGACATTTTTGTAAAAGATGAAATTTGGGGTGGGTTATAATTAATTCCCTTAAAACAACCTTGGTCCTAACTTCCACCCTATGTTATCATCTATCTTTAATTATTCTGGCTCCATTTGTTCTTGAGAAAGAAAAA